ACTTTAGGCCAACTTAATGCACTAATTTTGCCTTTTTTTAAGTGGTACCTCACACATCTGCAAACCTCCACTGTACTGTTTGCATTGTGTCTGAAAACTGATAACCTCCCTAGATCTTTGTTAATTAATGCATAGCATGGTTTATTTCATTACTGGACATCTCCAGTGTCTGGTTGCTGCTGTGTTGGTGTTTCATCTGAAATTTTGTGTGGTTTGGCCAACAGATATCAGAGAGGAAATATTTTCAAGAAAGTAAAATAATATTAAATTTATCTTTTTCCTTTCTTTCACAGTAATATCTAATAGTATCAGATAACATTTAGCTTTATGGGGATGCCTTTAGAAAAAAGACTTTAGGCCAACTTAATGCACTAATTTTGCCATTTTAAGTGGTACCTCACACATCTGCAAACCTCCACTGTACTGTTTGCATTGTGTCTGAAAACTGATAACCTCCCTAGATTTTTGTTAATTAATGCATAGCATGGTTTATTTCATTACTGGACATCTCCAGTGCCTGGTTGCTGCTGTGCAGTTGGTTCACTCTGTATCTCCAGGAGTCTCTGGTTGCTGTAAGGGGTGGGTTTGAGCTGACCTCTCTGCTGAGCACATGATGCATGCAGGTACAAACCCCAGCCTAATGAGCCTGGGCACTGAGCTTCCCTGGGGAGCCAGGCCCTGCCTCAGTGACCTCTATCACCCAGAGTCTCATTTGGCAGAGAATTAGGAAGGGAGCAGACACCTCATCAGCAGATTTTCCTGAGTGCAGACTCATTTTGGTACAAGCTGTCAAAGTCCAAGGATCCTCCAATCTGACTTTTTAAACCTCATCTGTCACTGGACTATAATTGGTTTATAAATTGGCTTAAAGATAATAACAGAACTAACCTTTCTACACAAAAAGCACGTCTGCAACTATCATAAAAGTTCTTACACAAAAAGCATGTCTGCAAATATGATAAACTTCACCAAGGCTTAAAAATAATACTCCTGAATAATACATGAGTCAAACGTGCTGGTGAGTGATTGGTGGTGGGAGCCAGTGCTGGCCCCCGTGCCAGAGCACTCAGCCACTGAGTAACTCACACACCCAGTGGCAGAGGCATTTGCAAGTTGTTGTTGTGGGGTTTGGTTGGTTTTTAGCTGCTTTTTCTCCCTACAAGAATGCTAATATGGTGTTTGACTTCTCCTGCTTGCAGTCGGCACAGAGGTCTCTGCTGGAGCCCCAATAATCCAAAAGCTGAGGAGCCTCCACAAACCAAGATTCTTTGTACAAAATGTTCACTCAGCACTGTTCAGCCAGTGTTCTTCACACCTGCAGGTGTGCAATCTGTAGGGCAGGTTGTTCCCTGGCTGCCTGCAGACTCCTCTCTGTTATTGTTTTCTGTAACAAGCTAAAGCTATCCACACAGATGTGTGCCCAGAGTGGGCTTTCAGCATCCTGCATCTGAGCACAATGAGACACAGGGACTCAAATACTCTCCCTGCAGTCCTTGGGGCATTTCCAGATTGTTGAGCTGCACATCATATGAGAATACCAAAAAGTTCTGCTCATGGCTTCTTATCAAGTTGTCAGGTTGATGAAGCTATCAACTCTGATATTCAATTTTTCCTCCTTTCTCTGCTTTTTGCAATTCTTGAAGTTCAGTATCTACAAAGGAAAATTAGATTAGCAGAATTTAAGGACTTCTACTCTTTGAGTATATTTACTAGGTATCTGAATGACACCTGAGTGCAGGGATGTCAGTCAGCCCCACAGACAGCTGGGCTTGCACAGGCCATTGTATTATGAAGATTTCAATTGCCAGATAAAGCTAATGCAATTTTAGTTTTAAAATTGCTTTAAAGCATATATTTCTGTTTTACAATTTTAGTTTTAAAATTACTTTAAAGCATATATTTCTGTTTATAATAAATACATGTGAATATACTTTTGTATAAAATGGACAAAGACATCTTCCTTGAATTATGGTTGTTACTATTTTTCAGTGGATTTTTTTTCTATACTTTTAAGTACTTGCCTTAGTACTGTAAAATAGTTCTTTCTTTTCACATAATTAATGGTTTTAATATTACAAAGGCAGTAGGAAATGTTTGAAGATTTGCATTTTGATCCTTTTTCTTTGTCAAATTACCTGTTTAAGAAATGGGTAGAAATCTGTTTGAACCTTATTATTAAAGTTTATTCCTATCATGATGTGAATCCTCTCATGTCAAACAAGACAAGGATATCACCATTTTTTAAATGAAGACCAAAAAAATCACTCCACTTATTTCACTGTCTCTAGTCAGCTCAGAATATCTTCCTATTTTGTCTTAGCACTCAAGTGATAGTCTGTATATGAGATTTTTATCCAGGGCTTGTAGGTTAAGTGTCTTGGAGGGGGTGGCCACCACCCCACAGTCATAATAGAATAAAGCATGAAGCCAGACAATAGAATAGAAAGTACAATCTATCTATAAACACTTTCTTTTTAATTAAAACTATTCGAATACCTATTTATTTGTATTATTTAGCAGGGTGCCTCCAGCAGAAGTTTAATTTCCCTGTGCCCAGAGCTGCCCCAGTGCTGTCTGCAGCTCCAGCAGCATGGGGGACACAACTGGAGCTGACATATTTCATATCTCTAGCAAAGCTCGTGGCACTGGCTGCATGATCAAACAGTGCTCCAGAGTCATTTTGCTGGGCTCTGTCTGAAGCACCACCCTGGCTCCAAGAGAGAGCTCAGAGCTGCAGATTTTCCATCCAGCCTAATTTTTTATTTCACAGTAGAGCTTTTTGTTATCCTCGGTCTCTAATGGAGCAGATAAGATGAATAAAAACCAAAACAGATGGGGAATTAAGAAGGAAGAAGGAGAGAAGTATTTGCACTTTCAGACAATGAGAGAAAAAGGAAAAGGTAGGGATGAGGGAAGAAGGAGTTCTAATGGATTTGCTCAGTGCCTGGAAATACTCAGGATTTACAACCATGGCAGTCTTTAGAGTTAGGGCAATAGTGCCATTAATTTACTCTGTTCAACTTCTGCAGGCAAATGGAACTGTGGTGTTGGTGGTTTTATTTCTGATCACTTTGATATTTGTATCTCTTCCTCAGTTTGATAAAGGTGACTGGGTCACTTTGAGTGGAGTCTGTGGGTTTGGATTGAGACCAGCAGAGCTGCAGAGGGAAGCTGAGCTGCAGACAGCAGATAGCTCAGCTCCACTCCTCTCAGATAGCTCAGCTTGATCCAGAGCATCCAGGGAATGGCTGTGTTTTGTCTTCCAGCCATGGAGTTCTGACCTTCATTCTTAACAAGAGAGGGCGAGGCTTCAAACAGTTGACCAGGGTCAGATGTTGTTACATGTGGCTGTGCAGTTATGGTGGTGAAAATAGGTGACTTGTGGTAATACTCAACTAAGAAATCATGGCAGAGACCTTGAGAGAACATCTAGTGTCCTCAGAAAGAAGATTGAAGGCTTTAGAGCAGTTGGAGTTAGCTGCAAAAGCTGAACCTCGACTTCGACATAGAAATTCTGTATTTCCACAGCTATAAAATAAACAGGAAAACAACTGGGGTTCAGTAATACTTTTAGTGTGATATGTGTAATATTTATGTGAGGGATTGTAGTGATTTCAATTTATCATTCAGTAGGGTGGAGCCTAATGTGAGAGAACTGTGAAACACAGGTGAATCTAGAGAAGTGAAAATTGCAATACAATCAATATTCAGAAAGATAAATAATTATAGAATATGTTGAACAGTTGTGAAAGAACAGCTGGTTCATAGAATAAAAAATCTAAATTCCTTTCTAAAGTAGGGAAACCGTAAAAATACCACATTTTGAGCAGGAAGACTGCACACACTTTGTGGGTGAGCATCACACACTTGGGCACTGCTGGTTTTTGTGAGGAAGTAGCAACCAAGGGTTTGTCTGTTTGTCTGCCACTTGCTGCTCAGTTTGATTCTGATCTTTATATCAGAGCCACAAAGACAGCTGAGTGCTTTCTCCAAGCATTCCCATAGGATGATTTTATTTCTGACTTTGAAGCCTCAGTACTTTCAGCAAAAAGTGATAATGTAATTAAGGGATGACATTTATCTTCACCGGACCCTAGAGCTGCATGTTTAACTGGATTAAAGCAAACGGAACTTGGTGGGAGTTTGGCCTTAAAATTTGCTCAGTTCTTATTTGTTTAATCATGCCAAAATTGAACAAGGAAAATATTCTTCAACTGTACCTTAGCCCTAGTTGTTTTGACTCTGCAACTGCTGCTCTGTTGATGATGACTCAATGCCATGGTGAACTAATTAGGACAGTACTTTGTTACTAACAAAAGAGCTGCTTTCTTCCTCCCTCCTCTCCCCAGCAGTTTGTCAAACAAAATTGTATCCTATACCAAAATAATAGCAACCTAATGTATCCTGGCACTCTGTCTCTAGTAAAACAACAGTATTTTGTAATGCTGTTTCAGTACATGTATTAGAGGGGTTGTGTTTTACACAGCCCATTAACACAAGGGAATCATTAATTTCTGGAGAGTGTGTTTGCCAGAAAGATGTGGGCTTTAAATCTTCAATGTACGTAGAAAAGTAGTGTCCATGTCAGATGTTCTAAATGGGGATGATCAGTCCTGAAAATAAAAGGATGGTAATGGTAAAAAAAATGGTAAAATGCTCAGCATTTTAAAAAACTATAATCTACAGTTGGCATTCTTATAGGAGACTCAGGGATGCATTTCCATCTGTGTGGACATGCTTAGATCCATTGTACTGACATCTTTTCATGTGGCTCTGGATTACAAGGTGCTGCTGTTTCTCTTGGTTGTATTTTTCTGTACTTCACAGACATCTTAAAATAGTTTTATCTTGTTTAAAGTGTTTTTGTGAAAATGCAGTTGCTCTTTCCACCTTTTTTTTTCGCATTAACAAAGGGCACATGTATTCCATCTGTTTTTTGAAAGCTGCTGTTAAAATCTTGTAGCAATAGTTAACTGAGCTGCCTGTTTGTGCTCTCCAAGGGGTGGCCTGGCCTGATATGCACCGTCTGGCTGACAGAGTCCATCTGGAGGAGCTGACCAGAATTGGCATTCTGAAAGGCAATGTGGATGACATGGTGAAGGTTCATCTGGGTGCAGTATTTATGCCACACGGACTTGGACATCTCCTTGGAATCGACGTGCATGATGTTGGAGGCTACCCAGAGGTTAGTGTTAGTCCATGCTCAATCCCCTGCAGATTAACCCCCTCAGCTCCACCAGCTCTGCTCATGCTCTCTGGGTGCTTACCCAACTGCATCTTCTCAGGGCTACAGCAGTTTTGCATTTAAGTGGCTCCTTTTCTTTAGATGTGGTATTTTATGCAGTTTACTTTAAGGAACTCTATTAGTTCATTGAAAAATAAATTGTTTATGGGAAGAAGTCAACTGATGGTGCTCTTTGGGCATTCTTAACCTGTTCAATTCCTACATACACTGTGTTGTTCCTCATGAGTCACTGCACTGACAAGCACCACCCAAGTACCCTGTGCTGTGGCAGAGCATCTCAGTCTGCCTGAGTCCTGTATTGGCAAGATTCACCTGCTCCATTGCAGATGTGAGGCAGCTGCAGGAGCCCCTGCTGTACCTGGGCAGTAAATCCCAGTGGCTATGTCATATTGAAACAATCTCATCAAAGCTCATAGCCCTGTCATGAGCTTTTCTGTCCAGCGTCAGCATGGGCACCAGGGAGGATGTAGCAAGAAAAAAGTCCATCAAAGTCTTCCAGTCTTTGCAAATGTGAAAGCACAACCTCTTGTATTCTGAGTTGCTGCAGAAATCACAGAAAGATTGTCTTTTGCCTTGAATTAATTTGGTGATTCATGACTATGATCTGAAAGCAGAATAGGTAAAATTCTGTTACCAATTAATGGCAGTAGGTCGGCATAACTAAAAAGAATAAACTAAAAAGATAACTAAAAAGAATAAACTCTCTAAGGCAAATTGTACTTAAAGTTTGAATAGAGGAAGTTTGCAGCAGCTTTGGAATGATTTCAGAAGGATTGTGTTTGTGTTAGGTTGTGGTTATTTGAGGCTATTTAAGGATTTTCAGTGATACAGTACAAAAATGGATCATTTTTCTCCTCTCATATGTAAGCTGTTCTTTTGCAAGAATCTGCAAAAGAAACAAGGAACTCCATAGGTAAAATTGAAGCATATTTTGGTGTTTGTTCATGTTGGGTGACCAGGCTACAGCTGCTATTGCTGGTTCAGTTTTGCAGGCAGGGGAGAAACAGTATGTAATATTTGAGGATACTTATTACATTCACAATGTAATTATAGTTGAGATACAATATTGGGATAATGATGTATTAGCATCAGCTAATAAACTTACATGTAATAAAAATGAAACAAAAATCAAAAGCAGTGCTATTGTGATTTTAAGGTTTCTGCACTAGCTGATACAGGGAGGATGGATGCTTGTCCCTTTGTTCCCCCAAGTGCATTCTCTGTGCACAAACTGAGACATCCAGCAAAGCACAGGGACTGGGGTTATTTGGAGAGTTCATAAACTTCAAAATCCAGGACCCTGCTGTTGCATGCCTTTGCTTCAATTGTTTTCACTTGTGTTGTGAATAACCTCTCTGAATTTAATGGACTTAAAAAACAGGAGCATGTGTTCAACACTTGGTAGGGTGAAGAGATAACTAAATTTTAGTAACAAGTGAGTAGAATTCTGAGAGTGCAAAGTGCCCTTCTTGGTTTTGCCTAAAAACTGTATAATTTGAGATTAGAATGAGTACCTTAGTGTCAAGGGAGATTTCTAGAACTGGTTTTGTGTGAGTCTGAAGCAATGGACCCTGTACACCTTCCATCTCTCAGCAGATTTCAGTAGTGTGGCATACAATATGGAATCATTTTTGACAATAGTTTTTGTTTTCATATGAATGAATTTATAATTGTTATTGCATGGTATTTTATATAATTTAAGGGTAATTTTTTGAAAACAAACTGATCTCCACAATTTTGAAAGAGCAGCTTGTCACAGATAAAAATGGATATAGGGACTGTATTGTCAAATGAGTTAGGCCCTCCAGTTTTGTATTTACTGTGCGTAAAAATGCCAGAGCTCTACACAGAATTTTATATCTGCAAATACTGAAATTGTTTGTTTGTGTTGGCATGCAACTGCATTCTTACATGAAGAATGCTTGCATGGCTAATTTACTTTCAAAATCTAATCCTAAATAGCAAATGTCTTGAATATGAAGCATGTATGAAAGCTTACTAACAAATAGCTAATATTCTGTATTTGCATATAAAAGTGCACATAGATGAGTGTATAGCATCACTTTGTTTGAAAAATTAGGAGTTCTGGGTTCTGCAGGGGATGTGGTTCTGCCCAAGCTCATCTCAACACGAGCAACTGAGCACCTTTCCTGCAAGTGTGGGACGTGTCTGTATTAAATGGGAGAAGGCTTATTATCCATGCCTCATTGTTTCATGAAAAAACACATTTTGAAGACATCTAGTACACTCTGGAGTGATTTGTGGTGCATTTTAAATGTTTACCAGCTAGCGAGATCTTCACAAGGGTTTTTATAAAGCCATTTTGGTGTTCATTGTACACTGAGCCCATGCCTGTAGTATCATGTCCTTTTTTCTAGCTGGTTAAAAAGCAACTTCTTTGCTTTTGGCCAAGAGAATTTCTGGGAGTATTACAAACGATTTTTTAAAAATAAAAACTTTCCAAGTGGATATTATTCCATTATTTTCCTCAAGTGTAAACAGTTACATTTGAAATAATACAATAAACGTTAATTTCCTAATTTTTATCCGTCAGAAAGTTTTGTGTGTTCCAAAAAAACTATTTCCAGACATTGTTAGCTTAGATTAGTTATTCATTGGTAGCCAAAGATTTCTTTTTTCAAAATTGGCAATAATAAGTTTTCATCTTTTCCAGTAAGCTGCTTTCGCATGCAGCATTGAACAAGCACTTTCTTCTTCTTTGACAAAAGTTGTAAATACTTGCAGATTTTCTGCAAAGTATGCTCTGGGATATTAGAAAATATAACATTTCCCCTTCCTGTTTTTTGCTGTGATAAAGAACAACAGGTTTTGGCCAGCAATGAACGTGTCTTGGCAACCTTATTTTAGGACAGCACGTTCACAGGAGTGTGAGCACAGTGTTTCCCAGGGAAGGATGCAATAAATGTGCTGGTTTTTCAGGAGGGCTGAGCACCAGGAGCTCCCTGGGCACCACGGCTTTCCTTGGGGAAACCGAGCGCTGTGCATTTTGCCAGCCATGAACGTGTCTTGGCAATTTTATTTTAGGACAGCATGTTCACAGGAGTGTGAGCACAGTGTTTCCCACTAAAGGATGCAAGTGAAGGTGCTGGTTTTCAGGAGGGCTGAGCAGCAGGAGCTCCCTGGGAACTGCATCTCCTGCCAGGCACCGCGGCTTTCCTCAGGGAAACCGAGCACTGCGCGTTTTGCCAGCCATGAACGTGTTTTGGCAACCTCATTTAGGACAACACCTTCACAATAGTGTGAGCACCAGTGTTTCCCACTAAAGGATGCAAGTGAAGGTGCTGGTTTTTAGGAGGGCTGAGCACCAGGAGCTCCCTGGGCACCACCTGTCCTGCCGGGCATCACAGCGTTCCTCGAGGAAACCGAGTGCCGCGCATTTTGCCAGCCATGAACGTGTCTTGGCAATTTTATTTTAGACAGCATGTTCACAGGAGTGTGAGCACAGTGTTTCCCAGTGCAGCACACAAGTTAAGGTGCTGGTTTTCAGGAGGGCTGAGCACCAGGAGCTCCCTGGGCACCATGTCTCCCGCTGGGCATCGCAGTGTTCCTCGAGGAAACCAAGCACCATGCATTTTGCCACCCATGAATGAGTCATGGCAACCTTATTTTAGGACAACACTTTCACAGTAGTGTGAGCACAGTGTTTCCCAGTGCAGCACACAAGGGAAGGTGCTGGTTTTCAGGAGGGCTGAGCAGCAGGAGCTCCCTGGGAACTGCGGCGTTCCTTGGGGAAACCGAGCACTGCGCGTTTTGCCAGCCATGAACGTGTTTTGGCAACTTTATTTTAGGACAGCACTTTCACAGTAGTGTGAGCACCAGTGTTTCCCACTAAAGGATGCAAGTGAAGGTGCTGGTTTTTAGGAGGGCTGAGCACCAGGAGCTCCCTGGGCACCACCTGTCCTGCCGGGCATCACAGCGTTCCTCGAGGAAACCGAGTGCCGCACATTTTGCCAGCCATGAACGTGTCTTGGCAACTTTATTTTAGACAGCATGTTCACAGGAGTGTGAGCACAGTGTTTCCCAGTGCAGCACACAAGAGAAGGCACTGGTTTTCAGGAGGGCTGAGCACCAGGAGCTCCCTGGGCACCATGTCTCCTGCCGGGCATGGCAGTGTTCCTCGAGGAAACCGAGCACCATGCATTTTGCCACCCATGAATGAGTCATGGCAACCTTATTTTAGGACAACACTTTCACAGTAGTGTGAGCACAGTGTTTCTCAGTGCAGCACACAAGTGAAGGTGCTGGTTTTCAGGAGGGCTGAGCAGCAGGAGCTCCCTGGGAACTGCGGCTTTCCTTGGGGAAACCGAGCACTGCGCGTTTTGCCAGCCATGAACGTGTCTTGGCAATTTTATTTTAGGACAGCACGTTCACAATAGTGTGAGCAGCAGTGTTTCCCACTAAAGGATGCAAGTGAAGGTGCTGGTTTTCAGGAGGGCTGAGCACCAGGAGCTCCCTGGGCACCACGGCTTTCCTCGAGGCAACTGAGCACCGCGCGTTTTGCCAGCCATGAACGTGTCTTGGCAATTTTATTTTAGACAGTGCATTCACAGGAGTGTGAGCAGAGTGTTTCCCACTAAAGGATGCAAGTGAAGGTGCTGGTTTTTAGGAGGGCTGAGCACCAGGAGCTCCCTAGGCACCATGTCTCCTGCTGGGCATCACAGCGTTCCTCGAGGAAACCGAGCACCATGCATTTTGCCAGCCATGAACGTGTTTTGGCAATTTTATTTTAGGACAGCACGTTCACAATAGTGTGAGCACCAGTGTTTCCCACTAAAGGATGCAAGTACAGGTGCTGGTTTTCAGGAGGGCTGAGCACCAGGAGCTCCCTGGGGACCGTGGTGTTCCTCGTGGGAAGCCGAGCGCCGCTTTGAAAATCCGCCCGCTCCTTCTGAGGGTCTGAGTGCAGCTCAAGCACTGCT